ATAAGTACTATTTCTAAAAATTCGTCTATGCACACATAGTCCAATTGACGTCCACTTTAGATCTATTTGAGGGCCAGGACGTCCATATCCGGGCATCCAGTGTACGTCCGTTTATGCTAATTAAATTGACAGCTGAATATCGATGAATTTTAAGTTCAGTAGTATTTTGACGTCCAGTGGACGTCCATCTTAGGTCATTATTTATTAAGCCTACCAGATATATCTATATATACTTCTTTTTTTTTAATATAACTGGTCATTAAAAATTGACAAATTGAATCTATTGCATTTCATTCTATCAGCGGAAGTTTGAAATATTATTCAATTATAACTGTATCTAGTAAAAAGTTTACAAGTGGTTCCTTTTGGTCGAGCTCGTCTAGCGATTGAAAGCGTAAAACGATAATGGATGTGTCGTCAGTTCGATGCCTGCTCAGGTCAAGCGATTTTTAATAAAAAATAAATAAATGGTGTATAGCGATTTGCGAAAATAATAAACAAATTCGACGTCCAAATATATTCCAGAATTGGACGTCCTCTGAATGGTCAAAAGTGTGACATTTGTATATCTCACTGGACGTCCATTGGATGTCGGAAGTCCAGAAAACTCGTTTTTGGACGTCTAGACATCCAAAATTGTATATTGAATGGACGTCGAATGGACATATTTGTATTGTCTGGGTAATAGCCAGGCCAGGTATTTAACTCTAAATACATAAACCTTAAATGACATCTGGTTTAACTTGGCGAGAAAACACTTGTTTCTACAGAAATGAGTGATAAACTTGAAAGTCCTTTTAATATAATATAAATCTAGAAATTCTAAAAATATGTAAGTACTTTTTAAACCTAAAAGCTTTGAAAATATATGCACATTGCAAATATTTAGTTAAACCTCTCAAACTTAATGTCTTTTTAATTGTTACCTAATTTTTTTTTGACAACCTTAATTTTATTTACCTTATTTTTAGTTAAGGAAAAGGTAATTTAATTTAAATATGGAGCTTTAATTACTTTTTTAACAATAAATAAACCAAATATTGAACAAATTTTATAGGTAAATTATAAAATAATAAACGTCTTTTACTTTTATAATAAATAATTAATTATTACATAATAAATTATATTTTGGTGCCAAAATTTCAGCATTGCTATTAACCCTAACTACTTCAATGTAATTAAATCACATTGCAGCATTTGCGCATGGACTATAACAATAATTTCAGATAATTTACCAAACTATTTCGCTTAGTGTAGAAAATAAGCATGTTTCCTCAGCGTGCTAAGTTGTGTATCAGTCAAAGTCATACTGTGAAAAAGGTACACCCGATATCAAAGGCACCGACAGCTACTGTAGCTTCTCCTTGATCGGTATTCTCGGATATGACTATGTCGTCGGCATAACCTTGACAGGGTATGCCGAGGTCAGTCAATTTGCATAGAAGTTTGTCTACGATTAGGCTCCACATTAGTGGGGATAGAACTCCTCCTTGTGGACATCCTCTGGTTGTGCCGATGGAGATGGTGTCCTGCCCTATCTGTGTCTCTGCAGTTCTCGTAGATAACAGCTGAGCCATCCATCTGGATGTGATGTTGTCTACTCCTCTGTATGCAAGTGTAAAAGTAAAAAAGTTGGTAATTGTAAAAAAATTTACATTTGGAAAAGACAAGAGAACAAAGTTAGTTGTATCATATAAGTGTACTCGTCGTGGGTGTAAAGCGACTATTGGAGTGGACAAATCGGAAACTGTCTTATTGAAATCTAAGAGTGAACACAATCATCCACCATCGGATCATTTAGATGTAAAAAAACTTCAAAACAGATTCAAGGTAACCGAAGGTATTTGCATTAAACCCAGTAAGTTAAATAAAAACGGAATCCGAGGCGAAGGAAATACTTTTAATGTATCCACTACGGATGGTTGACCACACCAGACGAAGCATATACAGGACAAGAAGAAGTAAATTGCCACCTTTGCCAAAGTGTACCAGTGATGTTCATAGTATTCTGAAAGCAATACAATATGTTACAAATAAGGATGCACAACTGAACAATTTTTATTAATGAACAATGAAGATTCACAAATTATTTTATTTTCATGTGATTAAAATTTAAAATACTTGTGCTCTCGTGGTAGTATTTATTGCGATGGCACATTTAATTATTGCCCTAAATTTTTTGTGCAATTTTTCACTATATATGCTGTTGATAACGGATACTACATACCATTTGCATTTTTTATTTTACCAGATAAAAGAGCAAGTACCTATGCAATGTCATTTAAATTATTAAAATATTATTGATATAATAATTTAAATTTAGATTGGAAGCTGTGTAAAATTATTTGCGATTTTGAGAATTGGTATTAGACAGATTTGACCTGATATCTTAATTATTGGATGTCGATTTCATTTAACCCAATCGTGGTTACGTAAGATACAAAATCTGGGTTTGATTTCCGAATATAAAAATGAAAATTCTGAAATCGGCAAATGGCTTCATTACACTTTCGGCATTTTATTTTTGGAAAGTACTGAAGTGGCAGAGGGATAATAGCAGGGGTGAAAGGGTGACTTTTTGTGCAAAATCCTAAATATCTAATATCTTCTTCTTCGAATATTAATTGACGTATTTTTTGTTTTTTTTTTTTAAGTACTTCAAAAGTTACTTAAAGTGGATACGTTTATCTAAAAAGCACTGTATTTTTTAGGTATGTAGTACTACTAACTTTCATAGATACTGTGTTGATACCACTATTTTCTTCCCCTTGTAGATCTGTTATCATATTAGTATAATAAAAACTATTTTATGTGGGAGTCATTTTGTGTTACTTTGGTATTACAATTAATACTGGTTATCACGTAAATCGTAACTGATATAAATCACCTGATGACAAAATACTACTTAAAATAATTAGCCGACACCTATGGAATCCATTTAAAAGTTACTAAAGTTACTAAAGTTACTAAAGTTACTAAAGTTACTAAAGTTACTAAAGTTACTAAAGTTACTAAAGTTACTAAAGTTACTAAAGTTACTAAAGTTACTAAAGTTACTAAAGTTACTAAAGTTACTAAAGTTACTAAAGTTACTAAAGTTACTAAAGTTACTAAAGTTACTAAAGTTACTAAAGTTACTAAAGTTACTAAAGTTACTAAAGTTACTAAAGTTACTAAAGTTACTAAAGTTACTAAAGTTACTAAAGTTACTAAAGTTACTAAAGTTACTAAAGTTACTAAAGTTACTAAAGTTACTAAAGTTACTAAAGTTACTAAAGTTACTAAAGTTACTAAAGTTACTAAAGTTACTAAAGTTACTAAAGTTACTAAAGTTACTAAAGTTACTAAAGTTACTAAAGTTACTAAAGTTACTAAAGTTACTAAAGTTACTAAAGTTACTAAAGTTACTAAAGTTACTAAAGTTACTAAAGTTACTAAAGTTACTAAAGTTACTAAAGTTACTAAAGTTACTAAAGTTACTAAAGTTACTAAAGTTACTAAAGTTACTAAAGTTACTAAAGTTACTAAAGTTACTAAAGTTACTAAAGTTACTAAAGTTACTAAAGTTACTAAAGTTACTAAAGTTACCAAAGTTACCAAAGTTACTAAAGTTACTAAAGTTACTAACGTTACTAAAGTTGCTAAAGTTACTAAAGTTACTAACGTTACTAAAGTTGCTAAAGTTACTAAAGTTACTAAAGTTACTAAAGTTACTAACGTTACTAAAGTTACTAAAGTTACTAAAGTTACTAAAGTTACTAAAGTTACTAAAGTTACTAAAGTTACTAAAGTTACTAAAGTTACTAAAGTTACTAAAGTTACTAAAGTTACTAAAGTTACTAAAGTTGCTAAAGTTACTAACGTTACTAAAGTTACTAAAGTTACTAAAGTTACTAAAGTTACTAAAGTTACTAAAGTTACTAAAGTTACTAAAGTTACTAAAGTTACTAAAGTTACTAAAGTTACTAAAGTTACTAAATTTACTAAAGTTACTAAAGTTACTAAAGTTTCTAAAGTTTCTAAAGTTACCAAAGTTACTAAAGTTACTAAAGTTACTAAAGTTACTAAAGTTACTAAAGTTACTAAAGTTACTAAAGTTACTAAAGTTACTAAAGTTACTAAAGTTACTAAAGTTACTAAAGTAACTAAAGATAATAAAGTTATATGTTTGAAAACAAAGATTTTTGTACTTATGAAAATTTTATTCAGATCATTTTTCGCGAAGTTATGTGTATTCAAACATAGAAAAGTTTCAAAAAAATCCAAGATACAAAAGCTAAATGGTGTCCGATTTGGCATGGACTGTCCCATATATATATATATGGATAAAAGCCAAACTTTCTTGTCGAAATTTTTTAAAAATGTCTAGTTGGTCAATGCTTTTAACAATTTCAATAAATAGGATATGCATTTGTTATATGTTCTTGTATATGGTATATTTTAGATGCTTATTCAAGATAATGGTAAATAAAATATGTACTTAAGAACTATTGTTTTATTTAAATGTGGTTATATCCAACGTCACACAAATATAAAGTGAGAATTATTAATTAGTATTATTAATGTTGCATTTTTACATTGCATTTTTGTAAATACTTTTTTTATATTTTTTGGTGCATTTTTTCCGTTCCTTGTTCATAAACAATGAATTTTTCAACAGGTCATCTGGAAATTATATAAAATTAGGAAATTAAGAGAAAAACCTTATATTAAGAAAATTAATAAAAATATTTAATTATAATAGATAAATGTTGAATAATTTATAGAAGGGGTTAAACCTCTTAAAATAATGTAGCATTTAAAAATAATATTTAATTAACATTGTTATCAGCAAATAAATTATATATAAATTTTTTTATGAATTATTAATAATTTTGATAGGTATATATATTATAGCAACTACCTTGGAAGTATATAAAGAAGTAAAAATTAGTGCTTTAATTTAATCATTTTCTTCAGTAACGAAAATTTAGCAGCTCTCTGATTTTTTCTATATCTAGGTCATTAACAATGAGATAAAACTAAATGTAAAGGTGGAATTGGTTCTTTTGATGTGAGAATACCTAATTTAGTCGATACGATGAATCAACGACAAATGGTAAGACAAAAATCAGTCAATGTTTTATTGTTTCGTAAGTATCTAATATTTCATTGTTCGATTATTTTTATTTTTGAGCGGGAATAATCCTCAAATCGATAAATATCTAAAAAGATATTTTTAGAGAACCGATAAAACTGAAACGAAACTTCTGAATTCTATAAATTGTTTTTTAGATATGGTTATTTTTCACACTAGCTTTATTTGTACACTCTCCAATTGCAAATGGGCAAGGCTACGTTTTCTTAGGTGATTTAATTACTTTTATAATCAACTTTACAAGGATTCAATCTTCAATTTTTCCGCTCTATCCAGACTTTGAGGGTAAGTTTTGCTTGTTTTTCTTCCTTTATTTAAAAAATAGTGAGATCGGTATTATTTTTTTCGACTTAATATTTTTAGAGTGTCAAATGTGGAAGCACTAAAATTACTTCCGGATTATTAGTTTTGTAGTATTTAATGTATTGCTATGTTGTTAATAAACCAATTAGAGCTACTGAAAATCAATAAAGTGAGATAATATAAGAATTAATTAAAATTAGTTTTAACATAGTATAAGTCAACAAAAATTAAATCATAGTAAAACAGAATAGACAATAAAAGGACACTGGTATTCAAAGTGGTAATAATTAAATTGATACCTAAAAAGCTTATAAGAAAATACAGTTTGTGGAATTGACAGAACTAAATGCCATTAGAACTCTATTTTCCTCAGTAATATTATGTGGTTTTGATCATAGAAATTCCTTACAAAATATGGTATGTACTTCATATACAGGGTGTTTCAAAAAGGTATGTCATAAATTCTTCCTCAGATAGATTACCAAAAAGTAAGTGGATTTGGCTATATTTACCAATACCAAAAAATGACTCCTAACAAAGTTACATTCAAAAAAAACGTTTTTTTTGTAAAAAGTATGCTGTTGCGATTTTTTTTTCGATTTTTTTGCCAGTGCTGTCAATTTTAAGTCCCAATGTTATAAGGAGAAAAAAAATTAAAACGACCCCCTTAAAAAAAGTTGGGGTTGGATACCTTTTAATCCCCCGTATTTTTTTTTACATAAAGAAACTTGCTTTATCGATCTTAAAAAAAAAAAAAACTATGAATTTTAAATTTTTTTTTATAGCGAAATGAGCTTTGTATCTTTATTAGTTAACGAGCTATTTACAATTTTTTAACTGAATTTCTAGAGCAATTCGTCCGACCTGGACTTAATATATCAACAAAAACTAAGAGTAGGTCAGAAGTTATTGTACAGAAAACGCATATAAAAATCAGTGATGTGCTTAGGGCTATGCTTGAGCCGCCCCTGCAAAAAATACCTCTTTTATTTATATTTTTGTATTCAAGAAGGAGGAGGATATATTGAATATTTACTAAATTAAATAGCATATAAAATATGTATAATAATTATTGTCAAGTGTTTATTTTTAATTGTTAATTTTTTGTTAATTCTTCAATTAAAAAAATAATTTTTTTAATTACCATTAAATTTAATAAATACATTTCCAAACTATTTTTATCAGTGGCATGGAGAACCCATGAGGACAGGTGGCACACCATTTTTATGGCGCCAATAAAAGAGGTAGTTTCTGCAGGGGCGGCTCAAGCACAGCCCTAGGTACACCACTTATTTTTATATGCGTTTTTTTGTACAATAACTCCTGACCTACTCTTAGTTTTGTTGATATGCTAAGTCCAGGACGGACGAATTGCTCTAGAAATTCAGTTAAAAAATTGTAAATAGCTCGATAACTAAGAAAGATACAAAGTTCATTTCGCTATAAAAAAAATTTAAAAATTCATAGTTCTTTTTGATTTTAAGATCAATAAAGCAAGTTTCTTTATGTCAAAAAATACAGGGGGGTTAAAAGGGTCCCAACTCCCCAACTTTTTTTAAAGGGGTCGCTTTAAATTTTTTTTCTCCTTAGAATATTGGGCCTTCGAATCTACAGCACTGGAAAAAAATTCAAAGAAAAAAATACGTGTGGCACTCAGGGACTGCCGCGGTTAAGCTATTGCATAGCATTTTTTATCAACTTATGCAATTATAAATATTTATTTATTTTATTTATGCAGTATTTTTTTTCTTTGATATAAATTCAAGTTTTTTCTATGATATTAATTCAAGTCACACTTTTTGAGCGTGGTGACCGATAAGAAAATAATTTTTTTTTATTGAATAAATGAGAAGTTAATATTGTTTAAAATATATTTATTATCTTACAATACATGTAGGTTATTCAGGAATTTTTATCATTGGTTTATTGTAACTGAAATAAGAAACATAAGTTTGAGACTTGATATGCTCTAAATATCTGGAAAATACCGCGTCAATGGTGGTACCATATTTTGTTGTGGATTGTTGTGGATCATTATTCATTTTCAAATTCAATTTTTCCGAAATTGTGTCTAAAAGAGATAGACTCAGTTATGAGCAGTTAGCAGCTAGTCTACACGCATACGTCTAGTCGCACACACAAACACCGTGCTGAAGTCTGCCGAACTGAACCGACGTTAGACGATGCACGGCTTTTAACGCCGCTCCTCTGTGCCGGTCGGAGTGGGGGGTGTTAGGTTTATTTTTGTTACGGAATTTATAACTATACAAACTTAATAAATTTCCTTCCGTTGTGATTCAAAATGCAAGGTCTTCTTTTAATAATTTCAAAACATAAGTATTATCGTGAGATCACTTGAAGCCGATTCTGTTCTTTGTTTACTACCGTACCCGCAACATGAGTTCACTGGCCATATCGAGACCCGCCTTGAGACTCGAGAAACCGACTCGAATGTTTTCTATCGCAGTTTGACGCTTAAAGGATAATTTCCAGAACTTATAGACTGAGCTTCTAGTCAAAATTGTTTTTTCTAGACAATTTTCAATATAAGTGTTGTATATTAAAGGTAAATTGTAATAAATAAATTAGAATTGTGAGTTATAATAGTGCCTTAGTATTAAATAAATTAATTAGTACGTTATAAATCATTTACAAATAAACTTTTCTTATAAATAAATCTAGCTTTTCAGTTTGAAGAAAACAATAACTAAAATCAGCAATTCTCCAAAATCTCAAAAATTCGTACATCTTGATTTTAAAATTATTATATACTGAGAAAATGGTTACATTTGACTGGGGAAATTGTAGAATACAGGGTTGGGGTATTCGTGGTTTTTGTACTTTTATAAAAATTGAATAAGCCGCCTTGAATATTTTGAAGCTTAAAGGTACACAAATATTTTAGTATTATTACCTTTCCCAAAAATCAATTCATAAGTACAGGGTTTTGAACTAATTCTTAAAAAACACCCTGTATATGAAATGTGTACTGGGCAATACTTTTTTTAAAAATATGCTTCCCTGACGCCACAGTAGAATAAATGAGATTTTTCAAACACACTTGTAAATCAGCATGTATTTAAAATTATTTTTAATTGTACGTTTATAATAATATATTACTAAACGGATCAAAAAATCAGTTAGCAAAGTACTTGTTCTTTATGTTAAAAAAAACCGAAAAGGTTTGTTATAGTTTTGCTGTGAGTAAAGCTATTTCAAAGAAAATATGTGATATAAACGTATACTCTTTATTATAAGGTCTCTGCGTCCTAGATGACGTTAGAATTATACGTAAAATCGGTATGAAATCCGTATAAAGCAAGTTGTATTACCAAAAAGTCGTATATATTCTTGAACCGTTGATCTACTTTTATAATATGTGATAAATCAATTTACCTACCTACTGAATTTTTAAAAATTAACGTTTTTCTAAATTTTAAAATTAGAAAAAGACCGTACCCATTTTTTATAGTTATAATAATTTTTCTTTATTAAAATAAAATTTGTTTTGTATTTATAGAATCAGACGATCATTACGATTTTATAGTAATTGGTTCAGGTCCATCAGGAACAGTATTAGCAAACAGATTAACAACAAATCCTAAAGTGAGGGTCCTTTTATTAGAAAATGGTGAAGAAGCCAGTGCAATAACCGATATTCCAATATTGGCGGGAGCTCTTGGTCCTACTAAATACAATTATGGCTACAGGACACAACCACAACCAGGATTTTGCCGAGGTACATAATTACATATAATATATTCCGTCAATGATGAATTTATCGTATATTTTTTGGTATACCTATTATTAGTATGTTGATGTAAAAAATTGTTATTTGGTTCATTGATGTCAATAGTTAATGTCAGTAATTATTAGGACAATGAATAATAATTAAATTTTAGTTACATTATAATTTATTAATAATATATTAATAATATATTAGTAATATATTAATAATATATTAATAATATATTAATAATATATTAATAATATATTAATAATATTAACAAATGAAACTAGTAGGTATTTAAAGTATCTAAATTGAGATTTTAACCCTGTCTTTAATTATAATAAGTCTACCGCTTTCGGCTTATTAGGCCATCATCAGGACTTCGTCGATTACAAAATAGAGGTGGACTTACCAAAAAAACATTATTCATAAAAGGCAATAATAAACAATTCGAAAGCGCTAGACTTATTTTAATTTTAAACGGGGTTATATTAATATAATCTCAACACACACTTTAAATACTTACTAGTTTCATTTCCTAATTACTTCCTGAAGTATTAATGATATATTAATACTATATTAATACAATATTAATACTATATTAATACTATATTATTACTATATTAATACTATAATAATACTATATTAATACTATATTAATACTATAATAATACTATATTAATACTATATTACTACTATATTAAAACTATATTAATGCTTATTTAACGAACAAGTGTAATAATAAGGGCGATTAACAATCAAGATAATTTAACGCGCAAGCAAAGCAAGCGCGTTAATGCTCGAGATTATTAATCGCCATTTTAATTCACGAGTTCATTACAGAACTTTTCCGTCGACTGTACTTTTCAAAAATAAAGATATCTTACTTTTAAGAAATTAAATAATGACATACAATGACAGATAATATTAACACACCTTGATTTCAAATGAATATGTATGTTTGGTTGCCTACATTATAGGAAACTAACTGTCAATATAAGTATATATTAATAGCAATGTACGTTAGGTTGCATATAATAAAATCGTTGAATAATTGAAAATAATTCATTAATAGGGCCCATTAATCAACGATTTTGAGTGCGTTAAAATACAATATATTAATACTATATTATACTATACTATATTATACTATATTATATATAATAACAAAATATTAATATGCATTATTATCGAACAGAAAATCTTAATTTACAAGTCAATTTAAAAACTTCCCACTGGCAAAATTTCCTAATAAAAATATCAAAAATTATTTAAAATATAATTGTTTCTATTCCAATGGCGACACCTTTCTATTATTCTCGAATGACATACGTCATTCTCCACTGTCGACACATACTTTGATTTTCTTTTACTATACGGAGAATGGTCGCACTGCGCAGCTTTCTGAGTGCCTTTTAAAAGGAGATAGAAAACTCCGCCATTTTGAACCCTTATTACGTGTTGCCTACATCTTGGTGCAATATATTGATATTTTGCTTGCTGCTGTCAGTGTCAGTGAATATTATTTTTGAAGTCACAGTTTATTGCTAAAGAATCAGTTAGCTCACTCGGACCAGTTGAAAGTTCCAAAATAACATCCACTCCAGGGATACAAATTCAGGATACGCAGAAGACTGCTGTTTTATTATAGGCGGTTGTCATATATTGTATTATCCGAGTTGCACAGTGTATAAATTGAAACATTGAGATCAAAAGTGCCGACGCAGAGTGAGCGATCTGATTCTTTAGCTGTAAACTGTGTCACAGGGTTCAAAATGGCCGCGCCCTATGTTGGGCGTGTCGGACCTCTCTCTTGCCTCGTATAGTAATCAAAGTATGTGACTGTCGAAGTAACCAATACAATTTAAATGGGGAGTTACTAAGTATAAAGTATAACACATGATTGAAAAGGTCATTTTATGGAGAATTTAGCAATATGACTTTGACTTTATCGCCCTCTAGCAGAATGAAAAACTATTACATATTTTAAAGTATGACACTTCATGTGAAAGCTAATTCCATTAGTAATTTAATGCAAAAAAAATTTTTTTGAGAAAAATGAGTATTTTTCAACAGTGCAGTATATAATTTTACGCGTAGATTCCAAAAAAATATAAAAGGTCCAGTTAAAAAATCAAACCTAATGGAATTTCCGGTAAAACAAGAAGTCGGCCACTTTGTTTAAGTATATAAGTGACAATTCAAAATTATTTCTAGTAGGTTTCTCTCAAATTTGATTGAAATCGATATATAATTAAAGGAGATAATAACCTGGCCCTGATCTCATTTTTATATCTTTTTTGACAATAATTTTTTATTTTCTTTTTTCTTCTAGGTTGCACAAAAAAGAGCATAGCCTGGGAACATGGTAACGCCCTTGGGGGGAGCAGTATTATCAACTACATGCTTTATGTTCGAGGCAACAGACGTGATTACGATAGGTGGGCTGATTTAGGAAATCCAGGTTGGTCGTATGACGATCTCTTACCTTATTTCATAAAAGTGGAGGATAGTCATGTTGCAAAAGGTGAACCTGGGTACAGAGGAACAGGAGGCTACTTAACTGTAAACGATGTTAAATGGCATACAAAACTAAGAGACGTATACGTCGAAGCTTGCCAGGAACTTGGTTATAAATATGTTGATTATAATGGAAAAGAACAAATTGGAGTAAGTATAAATAAACATAAATATAAAACAGGGTATTTCGCATTAGTACCGACAGATAATAGATGCGAATTGAGTACCTCAAAATTTGCTACTGTTCAACTTTAAACAAGTCTCACCCAATTCAACCATGACCTTTATTAAAAGGTATGGCGTGTACGGTGAAGTATAAAGGTACCATTTCGGTAGGCGCGACAGACGAACGCCGACGCGACATACGACCGCCGAGTCGACCGAGAAGTGTCGCTTCACATCTAAAATACATACAGTTATATGAAACACATTTCGCACGGCGAGACACTTCCTGGAGACACTTCTGAATCTGACGAAGGGGCAAAGGTTTGCTATCTGTCGCACTCGAGGTCAATGTCCTCGAGCATCGCATCATCGCTTGGAGGTGAATAGGTTGAAAATTTCTTTCGATCTAGGCAGTGTTGCCAGATTTTGGAACAGTATGGGTGAAAAAAAAAACCGTAGATTTTAATACAGGGGGAAATAATTGAAATTTGCAGTGTAGTAAATAAAAAAACAAGTATATAAGAAACGAAAAATAAACTTTTTTTGACCCAAATTAAAAGGTAAACAAAGAATAAACACAAATAATAAAATTTTTAATATATACTTAACGTACGGAAACAAAAAAAAAAACAATGAAAAATAATAGGTACCTACTTCTTTTAGATCAGTCTGAATCAGATAATTCAAAATCGTAGTGTACATGTTCTTTTTATGATGCCTTATTAATTCTTTGTTTCATTTTAAATAAAAACAATGATTATCTTGATGTTTTTTTTTATGGAGCCAACCTAGAGTAGTGGATGCTTATTACGCTGCTTTTACTGCAAAAAATTTACTAAAGAAAATATCCTTTAACCATTTGCTGAAGAATGAGGCAAACTTAATAAATTATGAACAAAATTTGCTAGAGACAAAAACAGTGGATCTACGTGAAAACAGTAGGTCTGGCAACGCTGATCGTTCCCTCGAATGGTTATCCTGTAACAGTCGCGCGACACTTCTCAAGCTTGCGAAATGCACCAAGCATAACATTTATGCATCTGTCGTCCTACTCGACCTTGGGGTCGCATCAGTGGTCGCTTGTCTCTTGACGCGCCTACCCAAATGGTATCTTAAGTGCGACATTATCTACAATAGATCCCTCTAAGTCACAGTGTATGGCGATGAGATCATCCCACTTATTTTTACCCTAACCTAACTGTATAACTTAGAAAATCTATATTTGGTATACTATTTATTTAGGTTTTTCTAGTCTTAATTTTAGGGTAAGTAAGAATTAATTAAATCATATTAAGACATAATTTGATGAAACCCACCCTTATAATAATACAGAACTATTGACATTTAATTTTAATTTTATTTAATAAGAAATTTCCTTTTGAAACTTTTTACTCGTTTAAAAAAACATTTTTAATTCTCTCTATAAGTGGGAAGTAATTGCAATCGTAAAAAGTCTGTATGCATATAAGGCCACTTTCTGGCTCAAAACCAGTTATACCTTCAGTCAGTTATATACAAAGTAAGCATTTTAAAAAATCATTTATTTTTAAAAATAGGCAGATTTATGAATTGATTGAGTATTTTAGAAGTCAATGTTAACAGATCGTAACTAAGGTTTAAAAGTTCTAAATGGTGTTAAAAGGAATCGTATTTAATCAAAAAAGGTCCACCTTGAATGGAAATAATAAAATGTGTCCTTCTAGTTTGTGAAAATGGACCATTTTAAAAACAGCCAATCATTTTTGTTCAATAACGGTAAACGTTATAAAGAAAACCGGGCGGACGCGAAGTGATAGTTCGGGTGGGATTAAGAGGAAGGAAAGTTCTGGGTAAAAACTGATTCTTTTTCCAAGAAAAACAAGAAAAATTATTTAATTGCATTGACAATAATAGAAAAATCACTCGAAACATTAATTGGCCATGTATTTATCATTTAGGTACATTTAACAGTTAATAAATAAATAAAATTATTTTGACCATAATGAATGAAATTGCAAAAGAGGAGTATCGAAGAAGATTTTCTATTGGTCTAGTGCCTTATAAAGAAACATTTTTCACTATTAAAAAACGAGCTCGCGAAATTTTCGAGTAATACTCGTGAACGTCCTATCCAAACTAGGGGATAAGAAGAAAAAAGTTATTTAAACATCACTAAAAATTAAACCGCGAATTAGTACTTGAAATTTATCTCGGCGTACAAGGATATTGGTAACTTCTGTACATCAAGTTATTAAAAAGTATTGTTACGCAGGTTTTTGGTATCTCAATTTATTTCAACTCAACTTTTACAATAATAATACAACTGATAATATTGCCGTATAACGTCTATCATAAAACTGATTGACTCACGTCAGGATCCCTGCATATATAACTTGCTTCAAACTTCTCCTTGACGTGGAATGTAATTTCCAGACATTTCTGGACTATTCTATCTTCTTCTGTTAGTACTTTTACTTATGACGACCGCAGCACACTGTAGGGCGATGAGTAACATTGCACTTTTTTCGTATTCGTACGTTTCCTATAACAGTCGCAGGCTACTGCAGGGTGCTGCGTTCCATTACTTCCTCCTCTCTAGTTATTCGCTCCAAATAACTTGATTACTGGGACCTGGTCGGAGCCAACGGGGAGAATCTGGACCACGATATGGCGCTTATTTTTCAATGTGAACTACCTTCGGTTTACTTCCCGCTGACAACTTAATGCGGTAGATCAGGTCATTGATTTTCTTTAGGACGGTGTAGGGGTCTTCCCAGTTCCGTTGCAGTTTCTGACAAAGTCCTTTTCGACGCTGGGGATTGTACAGCCATACTGGATCGCCTCTCTTAAAATGTGTCCCTGTGGCATGAATGTCGATTCTAGTTTTTGCTTTATCGCTATTAACTTTCAAACGTTGCCGAGCGAATTCAGAGACGAACATTAAAAGATACTGGCATATCATTCTATTGTGTCTTCCTACTATTTCATCGAATTGTGGGTGGAGAAGCGTAGTGCGTGTTTTCCTGATGCCTAATAGTTTCATCAATTCTTGCCATAATTAATAATAATAATAATAATAATAATAATAATAATAATAATAATAATAATAATAATAATAATTTATTTGCAGTATTACAGGTAAATTTGCATTAAATACATAAATTTTATCGAACAAAATAGTATAATACTACAAAAAGGGAATAGCAGACAGCATAGCTGATATTAATTGCTATCCCTAATAAAGAAAAGAAAAATATTAAAATAATAAAATACAACGAATAAAGTGTGGCACAATCGAGACAAAAATATAAATACACATTTTATAAATGTAATATTACATTTTATTATAATATCTAATGGTTGTTTTGACTAGATATTTTCTGACATCACGAGATGTTTATACTTTTGCTTAAACATATTTGTCGAAAGATGTTTGAGTTTAGGAGGAACCAGGTTATATAGTTTAAATATCATATAAGAGAATGAACCTTGAAATTTGGAGGTACGATGGAGAGGTGGAGATATATGCCCTCTAAACCTTGTATGCACATTATGCACATCACTTCGAAATGTAATTTTATTATAGAGATAAGGAGGCGACTTTAATGAAATGATCTTATGATACAATGTTACCATGTGTAAATTCCTTCTAGTTTCCATATTTAACCAGTTAGTTTCAATTAGTTTGTGTTTATACCATATATGTAGCGAAGACAAGAATTTTGTACTCTTTGAATACGATTAATATCCACATAGTCAATACAAGGCCCGTAGACGACATCGCAGTAATTAAAATGACTGAGAACCATAGTATCACAAAGAAGTATTTTTATATTTTGATCTAAAACATGGCGATGCGGGTAAAGCATTTTCAAATTAGCGTAAGCCCTTTTTATACAATTATTTACATGGCTTTTAAATTTTAAGTCAGTATCAAGATGAAGACCCAGATTTTTGGCAACATCTACACAAGCCACCAAGACACCATCAATACTCACAGATAAATGTTCTGCTAGTTCTTTTTTATTTTTTCCAAAGACGAGTATTTGTGTTTTTGCGGGATTGATAGTTAGCTGATGTCTGTTAGAAAAATTTACGATTTTTATTAATTCTGAGTTAATCAGTTCATTAGTAAGAGAAACATTAAAATCAGACAAAGAAAACCTTATTTGCGTATCATCAGCATATATATAAACTCTGCCATTGGTAAGAGCCGAACTAATATTAGTAGAGTAAATGCAAAACAAAATTGGTCCCAAAATAGAGCCCTGTGGCACACCGCAGGCAATATTTTTAATATCAGATCTACCGGCACTTGTTTCAACAAACTGTGAACGATCGGAAAGATAGTTTTTAATAAATTCAGTTGCTTTAACCGAAAAACCAACATAGTGAAGAATACTGAACAGAAGCTGATGGTTAATTGTATCAAAGGCTTTTGTATAATCTAGAAGTATTAAAACGTTTGTATACTCTTTGTCTATATCCCTAAAGATATCATCAGTGACCTCTAATAATGCTGAAGTACAGCTGTAGCCACGTCTGAAACCAGATTGGCTGATTGGTAAAATATTGTAATTGTTGATGTGAGACTCTATCTGATATTTAATTACTTTTTCCAGAACTTTTGATAACACTGATAAGATTGAAATGGGTCGTAATTCACTAAAGCTACTAATATTGTTCTTTTTAGGCAATGGGAAAACTTTTGTGACTTTCCAAAGGCCTGGAAAAAAAGATTCCTTTATACAGGAATAAACAATATTCGTAATGAAAATTAAAATATACGGACAACACATAAGGAGCATATTAATTTGCAATCCATCAATTCCTATAGCCTGCGTTTTAATTTCGTTTAAATACTTATAGATAGTATTTTGATTAACTGTTGTAAAACTTAGCAAGTTACGGAAGTTGTCTTTAAAATTATTAGTATAGAAAAGAAGTAAATCTTGGTCAGCATCGGCACAGTTACCAGTTGCCAATAAAAAGTGATTGTTTATGTCATTAGGAACATTTAGGTTTTCAGGTAACTTGGATTTTGCAGGTTTAGAATTTATATTTAAATTCTTAAGTTTTTGCCACATAATACGGCTGTTTCTACCAAATGTATCAACACAATATTTTAGATAACCTTTCTTTTCATTTCTAATAGCCACCGTAGTAAAATTTTTTAATTGTTTATAATATTCATAATGTGTCAGATTTTTTGTTTTTTTATACTTGCTAAGGGCATTATCTCTTAATTTTAATAGTAATTTAATATTGTCTGTAAACCAAGGAGGTCTAGGTTTTTTTAGCCTCGTTTCTCGTAAGGGGGCGATTGTATCAAATAAACCAGTTAATAAATGATTAAAATACGAGACTTTATCATTAATGTCCTGCATATGGAAGATTTCTTCAAAGGGGGTAACATACAAAATATTTTGTAACATGTTTCTGTCAACACCTTTTAGATTTCTACTATAAATTATTTCGTCACCTTCATCAATTTCAAAATCTAATATACAATAAACAAGTTGGTGATCTGATGATATATATATTTCCTTATTACCGTGACTGAAAGATGTATATTGATTTGAGATTAATATAATGTCAATGAGGCTTTCAGTAGTTGCTGTAATTCTTGTAGGTTCATTTATGACTTGCTGCATATTAAATAAATCTATGCAATTATTAAATTTTAATACATTATTACAAGTACTATCTAAAAAATCAATGTTTACGTCACCACCACAATTCGGAATCAAAATGTCATCCTAGGTCAGATTGTAATTCCAGGGGGGACTCATAAATGCTTCCGCTACTACTATCGTCGATTCCTCATTGGGAATAGGACTACTTTGAAATAGTCCATAACAACCATCAAGTATTTGTTTCCTCTTTCTGTTGAGGAAAGTGGTCCGAGGATATCTATGGCGATTCGTTCGAAAGGCTCTCCGGAAAGGTACAGTGCCATTTTACCTTGATTTCTTGTTTTAAGCCTTTTTCTGCCATTACAAAGGTCACATTCCTTACAACAATCTTCTACATCCCGTCGGCAATTGACTCAATAAAATCTATCTCAAACTCTTGCAAGTGTCCTTTTAGCACTTAAGTGTCCTCCCAAATGGCTGCTATGAAGCTCTTCCAACACACTTCTGACCTATGATTTCGGCAGTATTATTTGGCGGACTACATATATTCCTTCGGGGGTCTTCCACTTCCGGTGCAATAGGCCATCGTGAAGATACAGGGAATCTCACTGAGTCCAGTACCCTTTAACGGTGCCACTATATTTGGGTATCTCTTGCCATGTAGGTCTGACTTCATTTTTGAGCCATTCTCGAACAACCTTCAAGTCATTGTCTTTCTTTTGAGTCTTTCTTAGGCTTTCAAGGGTAATTCCGTCTTCGTCATCCTCTAGCTTGATAGTGGTCGCCTGAAGACTAACTTCTTCAACCAGCTCCTCTCGTTCTTCAAGCCTTTTACAGTACCGGTATTGTCGATCTAAATACAGTCGCCTAGAAAGAATGTCTGCGTTGCTATGGAGATGTTCTCTTCGATGCACTATCTTGAAGTTATATTGTTGCAGTCTTTCTATCCATCTAGCAACTTGTCCTTCAGGTTTTTTAAAATTCATCTGCCACTGCAAGGCGCTATGGTCACTTCTAATAAAAAAAATCTTTTAAAAAGGTAAGTGTGGAGTGGAAGTGTTCGAGAGCTTTGACAATAGCTAAAAGTTCTTTTATTGTGACACAATAATTCTTCTCAGCTTTTCCTGAGGTCTTACTAAAATACGCAATCACTTTCTCTTCCCCCTCTTGTTCTTGGGACAGCATGGCGCCCACGCCGTGTTGGGATGCACCGTAGTCTAAAATAAATTGTTCTTTTTTCCGAGGGTACGCTAGGATGGGTGCCGTGGTCAATCGTTTTTTTTTTTCACTCCGTAAAGACATGTTGACAATCCGGCGTCCAGTCAAATACACTACATAAGTTGGCAGCATATGGAAAACTATTTTATTATTAATATTAGGGAAAAAAGTTATTCTTCATAAAAAGTCAAGCATGATCTAAAACCTAAAATACAATCATCAGATATCAAATTTTATTAGGTTTTATGAGGTTTGTCAAAAATAAAGGTCTTAAATGAGTAAAACCAAATTTGGGAGATTTTCACAAAACTTTTATTTTAAAAGATGTCATGTGTAGTGTTTTTAAAATAAAAGTTTTGTGAAAATCTACCAAATTTGGTTTTACTCATTTGATAATATATATTTTCATCAAGTAAAGGCCGAAATAATAAATAAAAATAAAGGTACTTTACACTTCAGCAAAATTCATATTTTTTGACAAATCTTGTATACGGTTTAAAAAATTTGATATCTGATGGTTGTGTTTTGGACAATGCAGAACTTTTTATGAGGAATAACTTTTTTCCTAAAACTATTAATAAAAAAGTTTTCCATATGGTTCCAACTTAGTGAGACATATTGTATATATAAAAAAATGTAAGATGTGTGTGGAAAATTTATGTTTAGTTCGTCCCCTAAACATTTACTTGGTTGATACAATAGGTTCCATAAAATAATCGAAAAAGGCCTGTAATAATTAGACAGGAAAGTCATATGTTGGACAGATCAGAATTTTTGAAATAAATTCACCAAATGAAACTCAACATTATCATATCCTCATAAATTAAATACATTATAATACAAAAAAAAAAATTTAAAGATGGAATCATATGAAGAAGTATTTGAAATGGATTCATTTTCATTTGAATTTGCTACATATTTCTTCCTATTACCCTCATTTTTGAAGTAACTGCATGAATTATCTATCACTAGTCGCGCAATTGTTAAATTAGTGTTTAGGTGTTTAAGTGAAAATAAATGAAACAAACTGTTTAAATAAATAAACGATACATTATTGTTAATTTTCAGGTATCTAATATACAAGCCACTACTAGAAGCGGGCTACGATGCAGTGCAGAAAAATCATATCTGAGACCAGTGCGCAATAGATCTAATTTAAAAATCAAAACACAATCCAAAGTAACAAAAATTTTGATTGATCCAAATACTAAAGTAGCATATGGTGTAGAATATTATCATAAAAATAAACCGTATAATGCGTTCGCTACCAAGGAAGTCCTTTGTTCAGCTGGTGCTTTGAATTCTCCTCAAGTTCTTATGCTTTCTGGAATTGGCCCAAGAGATCAACTGGAACCATTAGGTAAAAAATTTGTACATTTCTCAATGGATTTATTTTAAGATAATGAGAACTATTTTCTTTAGTTGACTTCGGATATTCAACTTCTGACTCCAAATTGAAAAACACGTTGTTATGGTAATATTAATTTGATTGAAAATAATATTACTGTGTTTAAGGTTAATATTATTTTTAGGGTCAGTTTTTTCAGCTCTGTATAAAGTTGCTAATTAGGCTATAGATTATAATTAACTAATCTGCCAAATAAAGCTACGTTTAACTTTGCTCAGCAGTAAAAAAATCGACCCTTAAAATAGTTAATTTTATAATTAATTTTTAAGTGATTTATCTTTATATATTTCTTATGTATGTTTAGCGACAATTCTTTACTACGTTGTCCGTTTCCTGTGATGCTTTTTTGTTATAAAAGGGGTACTTCAGGGTTGGTTCTATATAAATTTGGTTAAGATCTAATATTGGGATACATGAGAAAATCAAACTCTTAATTTTTTATGATTATTTAATGATAATTATTTACCTCGTTGACCGATTTCCAAGATTAAATTTAGTTAGAAAGGGGATACATAGAGGGTAAATCTGATGACGAGATCTATAAGGAAATCATTAAACTCAATTTGTAATAGCATCTGCACGATTTTAAAGACCAGATTTTAAAATTATTTTTATAACTTGTATTAAATGTGACCTTTTCTTGTAAGTAGCTTACATAAACATTGCTGCTTATATCCATAATTTTTAATAGTTATTATACTTTTAAAAGCAGCTTATTTTATACGATTTTTTTAGACATACCAGTTATTAAAGAATTACCAGTTGGAAAGAAGATGTACGACCACGCTACTTTTCCTGCAATCATCTACCAATTTAATGAAAGTATTGCCATAAATACTATTGCAGAATTAGCCAATCCATTAACATACTTAGAATTTCCATTTGGAGATGGGATTTTAACCTCACCAGGTAAAGTCAATTATGACAAATTAAATATTAAAACACAGAATGCGTTTAGAGATATATTAAGGTCATTTAAATCATTTAACAAGCTTGAAATAAATCTTTAAACCTCCAATGCAATGTTTAAGGGGTTTTCTCGCCACAGAGAAAACGGTTCCTTACGAATGGCGCTGGTTACGGGCGGTTCTCGAGCGCCAGATTTTTGGTGATGGTTTACTCCACAAACTTTCGAAACGGCGTCGAAAGTACTCGGGTAGCTACAGATGGGGTCCAGGGGTCAAAGGTCACTTAAACACAGGTAATAGTAGGCCACAAGTAACGGGCTTTAATCGTTGCTTGCGCAGGTACAGAACTTATCACTAGCTGAAATACAAGGGGGAAATAAAGTATGGAATTAGTAACCAGTAAAGAAAATAAAAATGTTTTCTAAGAAAAACAGGGTTTAAATCTCTTCAGTAAAAGATAAAGAAAATTAAGCAAATTTGGTTCTGCAATCTGAGGAGATAATGGGGACGAAGAGAACAAAAAAAAAGAAAGAAAGCAAATTCATCTGTGTTAAGCTTTTTTTTTCTAGAGATGAAAAGTTTTCGATAAGACACTAGGAATGTTAACAATGGCCCTAGGTAGCCCCCTTAGAGGAATCCCAGCACCATCGCCCATCTAGCCAGTTTTTCAACTAAAAAAATACTTTTTTTTGTCCCTTAAAGCATTTGTTTGCACCTATTTGTCTGCTTATGTCCATCTACTATCTCTTCCTTTTCTTTCAGTGTCACTATTTTGTTTATGTATTCATGTATGTTTTCAAAGTGTCTTTGTCTCATATCACAAGGTCTATTAAGTTTTGGGGATGATGTCTTTCCCTATGCATAAACTCAATTTCCTGCGCCTTTTTTCCATCTCATGCATCTGATAAGTTTGTCTTGCGTCGCCCATCTTGTCGCAATAGACGCATTATTTTGTCGCTATTCATCATGGCTATTCTTTTCGTGTAGGTTCGGAATATGCAATGTAAAGGAAAAGAGGACAATCTTATATGATTGTTTATCTTAAAAAGTGTCCGCCCAAAAGCAGTAAATAAGTTTTCAGAAAATGACCACCAGAATGGCGCTCTAGGGAAAGATCCAATGATTGTTATATAGATTTCTCATCCATATATAAATCAGACGATGAAAAGAACTATTGTGCTCTTTTATCAAAATTTTTGTACGATTATAAACTCAGTTACTATTTACGATGGCTTTTTACTATGTAATATTCAGTTTTTAGAATATAACTTTCAAGCATATATTACACCCTGGTAAATACATATGGTTAAGCAATCTATATGACTATATGACTGCAGACATCATTGGTGTGATTGTGTGATCTGAATTTTTGACAGTCACAACTTTCGGCGTTCCTTTGGTACAGTAACTCGATCCATCCCAATTTATTACATTTTGAGGGATAATTTTTGTAAACAGAGATAGTTCTCCTTACCTTTACACTCCATAGTCCGAAATGAGCCGTATGCAGTCAGTATTTGTATTAGTTTGTTTGTCCCTATCTACAATTTATTCATTTTTTCAAATCTGGTTTTACAGTATTTATTTATTGTTCTATTGATGTAAGTACGTTCTATTATTGTTGCCATTTGCTATATTATGAGTCTTCGCTCGGCGTTTTTTACAGCTGGAAGACGATCTTCTTCTATCTTAGGAAACCATGTTCTGTCATTTTCTAGAAGATGAATCGGTATGGTGCTGAAGATAAATCTATTAACCTTCAGTAATACTATGCAATAGGCACTTGATATTCCGAGAACCACTGTCCTTAACCTTAACCCTTCTTTTTGTGGTTTTAAGTGCCTTAGCTCTTATTCGAGCCCCTACAGAAGTATTAAATGGGTTACAGAACAAAGTGCCTTTTTTTGCTGTTCAGGCCTTTGATATTTGGCACAATTCTTGCTAATATAGGGGCCGAAGGCGACTCTGTCATAAAAAACTATATCCATGTTAACGAAAATAAATATTTTTATTCTCGTTTATAAAATAGTAACATTTGCGCAGTTGAATAACCTCTACGATTTATTCTCACGTATTTTGATGTTTGAGTTGGGGTTATGTTCCGAACCTTTGGCTTAAAGTTTACCATGGTTCTGATCCTTCATCATCCATGTCTCCTTAGAATTACGGTCTAGGTGCTAAGGCAACGGTGGCAAGTTTGTTGTACTTGATCTATTGGATCTTTTTAAATCTGAAAACTGAGCCAAATAAAAATTTTGCTGCCTGTTTTTTTAGAATCTTCTAAAATGTACTTTTAAAATATTACTTCAATTATTTAAATAACAAATGAGAAAAAGAGAGCTCACTGGTATTCTCAGCAGCAAAAGAAATCATCAGAAATAATATAACTGAAAGGAACATGCTCATCTATACAGATAGCAGACAAAAACTACTCACCCTGAACAGACCATGAATTTACTCAGGGTTACTACTAGAATGTCACGAAGCTTTGGCCGAAGTATCCACCTTAAGATGGATCAATGGTCACGCCACATCAAAAACCGTCTTGCTGATTCAGTGGCCAAGAAAGCAGCCAACCAAATACTTTTTGAACCTGGCCCTTCCATTAGCCTGACAAAATCAGTAGTGACAGACCTAATTTAAGAACATTCCCTTGTGAAATTCAAGGAAAGATGAGATGAAACAAGAAGCTGCAGAGTTCCCAGGGAACTGTTAAGTTATCTTGACAAAACTGCAGTAAACAAATACTTGACTATCACTAGACTGAATCTGCACCTAGTCACAGGCATTCTGACTGGTCATTACTAAGTACGAAAGCATCTCCATATCATAGGGCTATCAGAATCCGCACTCTGCAGAGGGTGCAAACAAGAAGATGAGACCATCGAGCATATCCTCTACAATTGCTCAATGCTCTCATTTATTAGGAGATTTGTGTTCGGCGAGTATCGGCTAACACCAACCGATATAAGAGAACCACCTCTTGGCGACGTTGTCAACTAAATTAAATCTGTAGGCGGTCTCACGTGCTAGGAGGTGCCTATCATCTTAGGAGGATACACAATGGGCCTAGTGAGGCCTTAATGCCATGGGGGTAACCCACCCTCCACACGTTACAGATACAGATACAAATGAGGGAAATAAGTCAAAAAACAAATAAACTTTGTGTAATGATGGCGTTTTGTGTTCTGCTAAAGTTTAGCAATTGGTTTTGTCTGTTATTAGACGAAACCTTTATAAATATTTTGGATTACCGTCTAGGAAGTTCTAGCTTATGTTTTTTTTCTATTTCTACTGCTTTTACTTGTTAATACGAAATTTCACGTAAAATTTAGGGTCCATTTATAGTTTTTTCAGCTTTCGTTATGCTGAGGAGATTTATACGTTCTTATTTTCTTACCTTCCCCTCAATTCTCGGCACTCATTCAAGAGTGACCTTGTTAAGTTCTTAAAAAAGTGTTGTCAGTACAATATTAATTTGGATTGTATGTCTGTCTTCTGTATTATTTGATAGACTATCTGGCTGTCTGTTATAATAAAGCAAGAGAATTTTTTATTACTATTACTTCAGCCAGGAACACTGTTGCAAATTTTTAGAACCAAATGATAAAGGTAATAACTTTCTTTATTTGTTGTTTCTAGGTGGAGTTGAAGCAGTTACTTATGTAAAAGTAAATATTTCAACTGATCCCGATCCTTTGTATCCTGATATTGAATTGCTCATGGTTGGTGGATCTTTGGCCTCAGATTTTGGTACAATTTTCAGAAAAATGTTTAACGTTCCTCCTTTAATTTTTAACAAAATATTTAAACCTTTAATAGGAAAGTTCGTTTATCAGGTAATTTTATATTTTTGTTATTTATTTAATGATCGGTAAGGTTTTATTAACTAATAACTAATAATACACACACACATATATGTTTGATGAAGGTTTAATCAAATCTCCAGCCAGCCCAATATTTAGAGTCTTTAACGATACAATAATGATTTGACAGAAACAAGAAATTGAATGAAAATATTTTGTTAGTTTCTTATATAGATAATGACTTAGAAGTTAAATAGCCATACTATTGGCCCATCTCGTTTAATCCGTCATCAATTTCTTGGTTTATATAGTTTGTATTTGTACTGGTTTGTGAGAACTATCTCAAACTATCTCAAAATCTCTTAGATTATCAGATACAGATTTCGAAATAGAATAATTATTAATTGATTTTTTTTTCTGCTTTAGGTAACGCCAATACTATTGCATCCAAAATCTTATGGATCTATTCAACTAAAATCAAAATCTCCTTTTGATCCACCATTATTTTTTGCAAATTATTTTGACCATCCAGAGGATATTAAAATCTTCATTGCAGGAATTAGAGAATTTCAAAGAATAAACACAGCTCCTTCATTCGCAAGATATAACACAAAACTAGTAACAACTCCTATTCCAGGTAATATTCTATTAGATATTAAAATAAAATAAATGTCCAAATAGACATGGCGAGAGGGAAGTAATTTTTGTAACCGTTAATAGTATGTTATTTGCCAAGGAAATTCAACCTATGCCGTGTGTCTGAATACGCCTGAAAATATTTACGAATTGGAAACTTCGAGATAAAACTACACAATGTGTTGCACTGAGAACGTGAAATATTTAAATAGGTGATAGGAGGCTAGACAAAAATACCCATAAAATTAGGAGTTATAATACTTTCTTTCTGATATAACGGTTTTTTATTAAGTTTATCTGAACAAAGATTTCATATAAATTGTAGATGACTAAGAGAGTAACTAATATATTGCGTATAAAGAACAAAAACCAGTTTTATAAACGTTTATAAGGCCTACGCTTAGATCAAAGAGACCAGAGATGTAACATACTGCGCGAATGTTGCCAATTTCTAAAGAAAGGATAACAGAGTGGGGGAACTGGGTGAAGCCCCGAACTCTGTAACAGGGACGGCCTTTGTTTATTATCATCATAATGAACTATAAGATTTACTAAAAAGGTATTCAATGAAATGTTGTATATTATGAAATAAAATTAACGTGATTTTCTAATATCAAACAGATACAACAGCATTTTATGCAAAGAAAATACAATAGTTCTCTTATAGGATATTTCATTAGCTTTTATTTTCTATACACTACAATAAAATGCTGAAATAAAATATTGTTAATCGAGCAAGGAATGGTACTCATTGTCTACGAGTACTATAATAGCAGCATGTGTGCAGGTGAATACTGGAAATTAAATTTTGTAAGTTGAACATTATATTTTTTCTACAGCTATTACATAATATTAGAAGTTAGTCAAAACGAGAAAATATGCTGTTTTGTATAGTAACCTCAGAAAAAAGTATATTAAAGCTTCTTTCTTTTGGAATATTAATTAATATAGAGGATATCACATAAATCTTCAGAAATTCATATTTCTGAAACCGGATATTTTAAAATTTAAACCTAATAAAAGTAATTCGGTCGCTAAAGGTGGGCGATTATCAAAATAAATTATTAATCATTGAAAATAATTGATTATTTTCAATCAATCGATTATTTGCAAACCATCTATTTTTTTGTATTTCCTTTAAAATCGGTTATTCAATTATCTTTGAAGAATCGAAAATAATCGATCAATTAAAAACCGATTACCTAACCTATAAATCGGTGTTTTCAAAAAATAATGAACGAATTATCGAATATTTTAAATAATATATTGTTTGTTCGTATTTCATTTGAAATGGATTATTCGATAATCTTTGAAAATCGAAAATAATCGATTAAAAAAATAATCGATTAATCAAAAATAATTTATTTATTAAAAAGCCAATTAACCTTTAAATCGATTAAAATAATAATAAAAAATAACCGAATTATCGAATATTTTAAATAATCGATTATTTTCAAATCATCTATCTTTTTTTTCGTATTTCTTTTAAAATTGATTTTTTAATAATCTTTGAATATTGAAAATAATTGATTATTTGAAAATAATTGATTATTTGAAAATAATCGATTATTTGAAAATAATCGATTAATCGAAAATAATCGATTAATTAAGAAGCCGATTCCCGGATAAATCGAAAACCGAGTTATCGATTATTTTCAAATAATCTATTTTTGGTATTTCCTATAAAATTAATTATTCGATTATCTTCTAAAAATCGAAAATAATCGATTAATCAAAAAGTCAAATAATCGATAAATCAATAATTCTAAATAAATAACCGAAATATCAAATAATATATAAAATAACCGATTATGTTCGATCATTCGATTATTTTCAAATCTATTTTTCCTTTAAAATAAATTATATAAATACCTTTGAAAAATTGAAAATAATCGATTAATTAAAAAATGCGATTAATCAATAAATCGATTTTTTTATAAATCTATTTTCTTTCTGTATTTCCTGTAAAATCTATTATTCCATTAACTTTGAAAAAACGAAAATAATTTATTGAAAATATTCGATTAATTATAACGGATAATCAATTTTCATAAAAAATAACAAAATAATCGATTAATCCATTAATTTTGTAATCCCTATCGGACTTGCTCTTATCCGAGCAAATTTTGAGATTCGCATATTTTTGATCCCGTTATCCTTAAAACCGCATTTGAATGCATAAAAAATAGTAAATATTACAAGAATTTACATTTTTTAGTAAACAAAATTTTTTTTCGAGTTGTTTAGGGGTTTACAATGTAACATTTTATTAACAATGTTACTATAGTCTAGATCATATTGTGCGTTTTAATTTGTTTTAATACTTAAGACTCAAATGTCACATCCGATTTGACCGCAAGACGAACTTTGAAATTTTAAGTAGGTCATCCTGTATTTTATCCAATATTCTTATCAAAGTACCTCATAAAAATAAAATTTCGCTAGCAACTGTGCTTCTTTACTTCTTATTTATCTACCAAAAAGAGCTAAAAACCACCTTCAGTAAATATTCTTTTAAAACTACTTTGTAAAAACAAAATTTCGTTAGCAACAATGCCTTTTTTCTTCTTATTTACATTAAATATTAAACATTTTGCCTTTTAGAAAATTTTTGTAAGTACTATGAAATCTGTTTTCCGAAATATTTTATGATTAATGCTTATTGAAACCCGTTAATGCGGATCTGGCGCCTTTATGTCAAAACGTTGATAAATATTTACTGTTGAAAACGAATATATTTCGTATTTTTCAAAACATTTTCACTTATATTATTTGTAAATAAAAATTTTTACGTTACATCCTGGCATTTTCAACTTCAAATTGAATAACTAAAACACTTTAACTTGCTAATAACACCAACAAATAATTCAAAAAACGACGGTCCATGATGATTCACTCTCGCGGAGAAGAGCGTAGAATAGAAATGTCGGAACAATTCGGATGGCGTCGTGGAAATAATGATTTTTATTGGTAAGTTACTTAAGGTGAAAATAGACAACATGCGCTATGTGCAATGTTACATCTCCGGTCTCTTTCATCTAAAGCCTTGGTTTCTAGAGTATTTAAATGGTAACGGTTTTCTTGAATCCGCTTAGCTGAGCAGGACGACGTCATGCCGCTGATTTATCGCGACCAGTCGGTTCATATCAGCGGAACCGTCGACGTGTGCGGAGACACTTTGTGAATTCAAATAATTTTATTGTTGTTATTTTTAAAACAATGAGTGACAAAGTCACACATACATAAGCCTTTTTGACTTTATTTGTAGGTTTCCTGGAAATATTTTTCTTTTTAAAATTCAATACGAATTCAAAAAATCAGTGGAAAGTCTCAAATACTCCCTAAATTTGATTTCACTTCCAAAAAACCTCTGCTTATTGGAAATTTTGACGGTCGCAATTGTCATTTCCTCGTATTCTTCCTCTTCCAATATTAATAACAACAACAACGCAACCAATTTATTTGCGTCCATTTTAGTACCTTTCGTTTCTATTCATAATACATAAACAGCACATACAGACATAAAGAAAGTCTCATTTTCTATATTTAACAAACCACCTTGGGCGATAATCGCTATCCTCAGCGGTCGACGGACTGTCCGCTCACCGCGACGGAGTGTTCAAAGAAACCAAAGCTTAAGGGCCTATGCTAACATACGGCGCAATTGTCTAGGTACAAAAAACCCAACAATTTAAAACCATCTACAAACTAGAACAAATACAAAAAATAGCACGACTCAACATAACAGGAGCCATAAAAACCAGACCAACCAGAACTGTGGAAGTTATTTTTTGTCTCATGTCCCTTATATTTATATTAGGGGGCTGCTATAATGACAATGACATGGCTGGAGGGTTAGAAAAGAATCTAACAGAGTCCGGTGAGGCGAGAAGTAACTTTTGGTGGGATGACCTCAGTACGCTTCTACTGAGCTCACGGCGATTATTACAGCAGCAAAATAAATTAAATAAATTAAAAAACAATATCACTGAAATAAACTAGCTCATCTATACAGATAGCAAACAAACACCACTCACCTTGGAAATACAACGAATTTACTTACTCAGGGTTAGTACTAGAATATCACCAAGCCTAGATCGAAGAATCCATCAACAATATAGTCAGTCACCTTAAGATGGATCAAAAGCCACGCCCTATCGAAAGGTTTTAATCTCAAAATCCTAAATTTTTTACTTGTCAACCCTCTTAAATTCGTTCCTACGATTCAATTTCTACCAAAAACTAATTAACATGCAATTAGCATCATGATACTGATATTTGATGAACATCTGTTTAACCTCTTTTAATTGATAAAACACATGCATCATTCAGAAAACCCCTCTCATTTAATATTTAAATGAATTAAATATTCTGTAAAATTAATTGGTATGCATCGAAAGAATTATTATTTGTTATAGAAAAATATTTAATTTATCCATCGAATTTATTAATACAACTCAAATGCCAACAAGGTATCGTTGGTGTACGCGGACATGATAAATAATTTCGGTATGAGCCATATACTTTGGTATGATTAACAAATTTAGTGCTCTCTGTGTGCAATCCTAAAAAGTACAGATTCAGACAGCAGCACCTCTCAAAGATTTTAGAGAGAGAATTCAAAACAGTGTTATTATTTAATAATTGAAATTTTCTCTAGATTTATAAACCCTTGTGAATGTTTTGAAGTCAATGTATTTAAATACAACTATTAAAGGTATATTCTATAATATTACATTCATTTTTACAGTTTAAATATAATTTTTGCGAATATAATATATATTAAAGTTGAAGGTGGTAGCCATGTGTAAGTTATAAGTTCCAAAGGTAAATCAAACGAGGGTGGTCCTTAGGATCTCACAAGAGTATTTTATTACGACCGGTTTCGAGGATCAGATCCTCATCATCAGGTAAGGTCTAAAAATAGAGAGGAAAAACGAATGAGCTCATAACTAATAAGTGGGTTTAAACATTTTAATATGAAAGTTGTCAAATATCAAGAACTCACCCGTAATTACTCATCTATTTAAGACTAAGCTAAGAGAATTATCCCAGGGTCGGTGTAAAAACAAGTATGCGAGTATTTTTTTAAATACATAAAAAATATAAAAAACAATAGTTGCAACAAAAAGTTGATGTCAAAACACATAAACAAAAGTAGGTCTAAAACTATTAATTAAAATTACTAAAATATTTCACGAACGGACGAACAATTAAGACAAACAAATTTAAAAACTTTTTAAACCCTACAAGCACTAAAATGGGTTCTTGGACAAGTGTTTATAATTCTACAGAAATTAAATTTTATTTAGATTAAATATACTGATTAACGCCCTCAAGATATAAATAGACGAATTAACCATTCTAATATTTAAGATAACAGTTTAGAGGTTGTCAAATTTAAATATTTTGACCATCGGCTAATAGATGGCGTTGGCGAAAAAAATAAATGTTTCTTAATGATAATATAGGTTTATAAAATGAATTGTTTGAATTTGTACGTAAAAACAAAATGAAATAAATAAATTATTATTGTTGTTAAAAGTAGAGTCTAGCATTAGCGAATATTATAATATTATAATATTATAATATATATATTTTTTAATTACATCAAAAATTTTCAAAAAATTTATGCAAGTTTCTACGTCAAAACTAATAATTTATTTTTTGAATTATTGATCTCTCTTCATATTTTATTCTTTTGTTTTATACTTGTAAAAAGTAAATTTTCCAATTTTCCTTGGGAACAAATTATTTAAGCTAGATCAAATTTTGGTAAAGTAATACTAAAGGTTGCATCTGCCTTCCCAAATTTTTTCAAAATGTTTGAACCTGTATATACTTTTTCCGGGGGTCTAAATTACCCTATTAATACTCCATATACAATTCTGGACTATGACTATACAGTATCTGGGCCTAATCACATGAATTCTGACAGGTCATTGCCAATATGACATGGAATATAAAACTCTGTACTCTGTAGGGACTACGAACATGAAACTCTCGATACTATCTAGAATCTAGTACCAGATTGCTGAGATTGCCCAATGTCTTATCTATTCGGATATTTCTATTCGTCTCATCTCAGCAATGTTGTCAACTAGAATAAATTTGTAGGCTAAGAAATGCCTTACTAATTCGGTAGGATGCATCATGCGCCTAGTAGGGCTAAAGTGCTGTGAGGAAAATCCCCACCTTCCTTCACTTTACTGATACAGCTACAGGAAAACAACAACTGGCCATAGCATTGCTTTTATTGTATTAGTATCACAGCATAAAGATGCTGTGATTAGTATGTTTAAACAACAGTCAATAATATGGTAATGAATAATAAAACAGATTTGCTTACATGTAACAATTGTTTGTTGATTACTACAAATTAAGCAAGGTTAGATGTTAAATTATTAATCTTTACATTATTATTTTGAGAATTTTTATAGATACCTAGGTAATTTTATTTTATTTTAGGTTGTGAAACTGAAACATTTGATACAGATGAATATTGGGAATGTGGTTTGAGAACAATTATCGGTAGTTACTACCATCAAGTCGCTACTTGTAAAATGGGCCCTTCAGACGACATAGAAGCAGTGGTGGATAACGAACTAAGAGTATATGGAATCAAGAATCTGAGAGTAGTTGACACAAGTGTTATTCCAATTCCTCCATCATCACATAATGTTGCGCCAGCTTACGTCATTGGAGAGAAAGCAGCTGATTTGATTAAAAAAACGTGGAATATATAATTTAGTTAGATAAACGTTGGTACCTGTATTAATTTTATTTAATATAATTTAAAAGCATGTTTTTTGTTTTATATACCGGATATAGCAATCTATTTTACTGTCCTGCAGTAATAACTCTAGTATAAACCTCTTCATCTTTCTATGTGCAATACCAAATTTCTTCATACTGCCTTCGGTAGTTGATCACGAGTTATCAGTAGGTATATAGAATTAAAACTCCGTGTGTTCGATACCAGTGTCATTTCTTTCCACCTTCTTCATTTAATTCGGCGACCGGTTGTACAATTACAGAGAAAGTAGCGGATCTATTGAAATAATTTGGAAAGTTTAATCGAATATTAAAAATGTTTATATAATGTACCGGGTGTCTGTGAGAATTTTACTCAATAGGTTCATTTTTATAGTGCATCTAAAACGATTTTAAAAGGATAACAAAATATATATACATATACATAATTTTATTAACTTTCTAACAAAAATTGATTTATGCAACGTAATTATGAGGTGCTACCACTGAGACAGATAATTGTAAATTGGGAGTGAATTTACTATTAGAGTAAGAACATAAATTTCCTGACAAGGTAATGAAACCATTTAACAAAAATTAAAATCTCTAAATCAGTGTAGAGGTAGTGTAAACATTTTTCGAGGAATAAACTATCATCGAAATCATTTTCTCGGAAATTTCGAAATCATCATCGAAAATATTGGTCGAAATCATCATCGAAAATATTGGTCGAAATCATCATCGAAAATATTGGTCGAAATCATCATCGAAAATATTGGTCGAAATCATCGCCGAAATCAATTCGTCGGTCGAAAACGTAAATTCAAGAGACAAGGGAAAATTCCCTGTTTGCAGAATAACCAGCTCATCTGCATACACTATTGTGTAGTAACTGTCATTATTGAGGCGGCTGATGAGGGTGTCTAGGACCATGTTCCACAGTAAAGGTAATAGCACATCTCCCTCTGGACATCCCCTCGCAACCAATCCTCTTATATTCACATCTTCTATACTTATTTTTACTGCTCGCTTTGAGATCGTGTTGTGTATCCACCCACTAACCATCTGAAGAACATTCCTGTTGTTTAGTGAGTGAATTATCTTTGGAAATGTCGTCTTATCAAAAGCACTTTCTATGTCTATGGAAACACCCAAGGCGGACTCTTTAATATCCAGTGATCTCTCTATCCGGACGGCAACTAGGTGAAGGACTGAATCAGTAGATCTGCCTGGGGTGTATTCATGTTGATTTTGGTGTAGTGATGTTGTTGTAATCACCACATCCCTTATGTACCTTTCGCATAGCCTTTCCAATGTCTTCATGGAAAACGTTATCAGGCTAATCGGTCGGTGGTAGGGCTGGAAAGATACCGACAGGTTCTGGCGATTTAAATGGAGAGACGGTAGATATTGCAAATCTAATTTTGTCACCGTCTACAATGTGTTTGACGTTTTCCAATCGTAGACAGATGGGTTGTATTTTTCCTCTGCCCATCGGCCACATCTGTGATAACCGAGTCAGGGAAGTGGGTTGACAGCAGAAGTTTAATGCTATCTTGGAGGTTTGCAGTTTTCATGTCATCCTCTTTGATAAGCGAATCAATACTGCAGTGTGTATCTCTTAAGAGAGCTTTTTGAAGCCTCGCTGCCTGTGTGGGAAATCTTCGATTTCTTCGCAGAAGGATCTCCATGCTTTTGTCTGTTTTTTCTAACGTTTTTTTTTGTATTATCTGAGGTGAGATTTGTAAGTATCCTACTCCTCTTCGAGTTTTGTAGTTCATGCCTTATTAAAAGATTTCCTAACCATCTTTCTGAGGTGATCCAACTCGGGACACCACCATGCGGTAATCGTCTGATCATGTTGGACTAGCCTCAGGGGGCAGGATTTCATATAGGCACTGTTTATTGTGCTTTGGATAGTGTTCGAGTACTTTTCCGAAGCATTGTTATTGTTTGGTGTGTCGGCCTTATGTCACTTTCACACTTAGTTGGCATCATATAAACATTTTTAAGTCCAAAAAGGTAAATGTAATTGTATTCTTTATTCTAGCAAAGTGGACATATGCAAACTTTAATTTGTGGCAACATCTAGTTATAAATATCCAATCTTTTATCATCCTTTGGTGAAATTGGAGAATCTTAATAAGGTTAAAATTCCAAAAAGTAGTGATGACGCCGACTATTTTTCAGTTACCGTCATCTTTGACTATCAGAATAATATTAATTATATATGTATTAATCTAATTTATATTTTTAGGTTTTTTTAAATTTATTTTCATTATGCAATATATATTTTACGTTTTTGTTTGCAAAGTTTGTTATTATTATTCGTTATTATTATTATTTGGATATAACATAATATTCATTGTATTTTAAATAGTTTTTAAGAAGGAACTGCGGACAGAACCGACTTGGATGCCGTTTAATCCGTACTATCTAGAATTCAAAAAGAAACGGTACGAGTTGGATGCGAAATACTTTTTTAGAATTAAATTTAAATCTATACTATTAAGAATACCCTTAAAAAATATCAGAATCGCGAAAAGGACTAGACCTCCCCTGTAACATTTACTTAAGTATCTATTTATGGCAAGGTTGGCGAAGTTAATAAAGTGAAAACAACAAGCGCAGTTGTTATCCAGATGCACGAATTTGAAATCAATAATAATGTCAAGACAATGGAAATATGTTGGTAATATGCTTGCGCGGAAATGCTGCGCGAGCCGTAACGTTTTGGAATCACGCCGACCATGTCCTTCAGACACTCGCGTATCGGGGACAACACTAATAATTTGTAGTGCACATGTCATCTATGATTTTTATAACCTAACCTAAAAAAACAAATTCTTTTATGATTTCTACTTTTACTTCATTAAATTCAGTTTTCGAAATAAAAGTGCAGTTTTTGATCTGTCCATTTTCTGTAATTTATTTTAAAAGAAGATATTAGGTAAAATCTAAAATCTACGCAGTTATTTTTTTCCACCTACATATTAGGTATTTTATGTGCTTGAGTGGACTTTTTTAGTTTTAGTTAAAAGTTAAATAAAAGACAGTGACTAGCATAGCAGTACATCGGATGTAAGCGTTTTATTTGTACATCGGTCACCTTTTGACAGAGTAGGTGAGCTGTGTCCAGGCGTTGGTGTTTATGCCGGTCGGCTTAGCCAGGTATTGATTGAAATTTTCTGGTTGCGGCGGAGCCGCCACCCTACGAGAAGCCGTTGCTTCGTCTTCTTGTCACGGCATTATTATTATTTGTTCATGTATGTTAAATTTGCTTCTAAGGTTTATAAAATACTACAGAAAATACTTAAGTCTTTCACTCCATCATCTGAAATAAAGTTAGGTTAGAATTATTATGTACAAATAATGGGGGATACATCCGATGTACTGCTAGTCACGGCGTAAATGAAAACAAACAAGACGCATTCACTCAAACACCTCCCGCCACAGCAATTACAAATCATTAGTGTCGTCCCCGATATGCGAGTCCTTCAGACTCGTCTCATCCATGATAACAGATGCATCGACAATTTGGTAAAAACCCACGCTCTAATCGTGATAAAATTATAAATATTCTAAGTACGCAAATAATTGTGTATTTGCCAAGTACACGAGTCGTTTGAGCCCGGCTATAGACAAGCATGTACTTGGCAAGTGTACGAATAATCGAAATTCCTTTGACTCGGGCCATTTTTACCGACCACAAATGGAAAATCAACGAGTGACAAATAATTGTACAAGTAACCCACTCACACGACATGGCAAGTATACGCAAGTAACGATTATTCGCCAAGTACACGAGTCGTTTGAGCATGGCTTTAAGCCGGCAGCTGGTAAAAACATGGAATACAGTTTGCTTCAGAATTATAGCATAATGGAGGAGTCATCGCCATACAAATATCCGCCGTGTTTCCATATTATGTCCCGGAATATGAAGAAAACACAGAAAAATATCAAAAACATTTATTTACAAACTTTATAATTACATTAAATTACTAAAACTAATACAAATTAAGTAAATACAACTAAAAGTAAATTAATTAATTTTAAAATAATTAGAGAATTGTTAAAAGAATTCAAATTTTCTTATTTTATTTTTAGAAAGTTCATTCATTTTTAGATTTTCAAATTCTCTTGCTCTTAAAATATTTTTATCATATGTTTCGCTAATAATATTACTGCTCTTTATTTTAATATAAGGAACTCTAAAAGTACTGTTAAAAATTGGTGTGATTGGACGAGAATTATAAAAAGACTTATTATAATGGCTATGAGATGATTCACATGCATTTGTTGTTCTAGATAGGGCTGAAGAATGTTCTGTCCAAATATTAGGTGGGAATTTTGATACGTCGGGTATTATAAGTAATCTACTAAGTAATCACAAAATTTGGTAATATTCTGGTTTTCTGATTTAATTTCACCAAAATCAATGGAAAAACATTCGCCTACATTTTCCAGATGTAAAAATGGTAACACGAAAACAGATTTTAGAAATACAGTATTTTCTGTTTCTGAATCATTAATTAATTAATTAATTGGTAGTCAGGTTACAGTCCTAACTCTTGAATTTCTATACCAGGATTAGCTTAAATAAAACGACATCTTTTTATTTGCCATTCAGGAAAAAATGACTTCATTCCTTTAGGAATTGCAAGTTCAAAATCTGCGGTGATGGTTTTAGGTGAAAAACCTAAATTGAATTTTAGACATTCTTCTTTTATATATTCAAAAACTAACTTATACATAGTGTGGCATTTACCGGGCAATAAACAAAAAAGCAAAGGAATGTAATGTCCGTTTTGTAAATCATGTATTGTGAATAATTGTAAAAATACTTCGGGCAACATATAAATCAGGTAACTGGACTAAACATTGTAAATTGTACAAGAAAATATTATTATATTGATATGACATTCATTTGTCAACAAAATTTTTTTATGTTTGTTTGTTTGTTTCAATATTTCAATGTTTCAAAATGATGAAAATCGTTAATATTCTGGGGAAATTTAGCATAAACTAAGTTCTAGCTTAGTAAATATTTTT